TTTTCCCTGCTTTTCCCCCCCTCTCCCTCTCTCTCTTTCTCTCTCTTCTCTCTCTCTCTCTCTCTCTCTCTCCCTTACTGGTTTGCTGCAGCTGCAGATGACCTGAGATATCCGTCTCTCTCTCTCTCTCTCTCTCCTTCGCTCTCTCTCTCTCTCTCTCTCGCTCTCTCTCAACCTTCTGTGTGTCTCTCTCTGAATAATGAGCAACCAGAGGGAGCGAGAGAAGGAGAGAGAGAAGACAATCTCCTTGCCTACCACACAAAACGCAAGAGCACCAGGGGGTGCAAGAAGGCTTTCTAACAACAACAACGTGGAGGGGGGGGGGAGAGAGAGAGAGAGAGAAAGAAGAGAGAGAAAAAAGGGGGGTGAAGGCAAGAGAATAAGAGGAGGGGGAAAGAAAGCTAGAGATGGTGATGGTGGAGGAGGTGGTGGAGGAGATGGTGTTGATGAAGAAGATGAGAGAAGAGGAAGATGGTTACAAACTTGAGTCCTCTGGGGATTTGATTTCTGAGGCACTCCCCGGCTTCCTGAGGTTGGGAGAGCTCAAAAAAAAATTGGGGAAAAAAAAAGCGCGACCTGGAGAGGTTTCCCAATTCTAAGCTGTTGCTTGTAAACTCCAACCCTCGTTAAGTCTTGGAGATGCTGAGAGAAAGCCCCTTCTCTACGCTGCTGGGTCACCAGAGCCTTTGCCACCAGACCTGACAAGTTCTAATAAAATCTGTACCACCGGGCTTGAGCGCCTCCAGAGATGCGCCTTGTTGTCTGTCCCCTAAACTGATCCCTGAGATGCGTCCATCTAGAAGAGGCTTAGTCTTTTTCCTTCTTCTTCTTTTTTTCCCCCTTCCCCTGAGCAGCGTGAAAGAACACAAATGGAACTGGAGGTTGCAAAGTGTATCTTAAAAGAAAAAAAATAATAATAAAAAGGAAAGCTCAGATCTACCACGTGGTTGATTTTAATCCCCCTCCCTCTTCTTTTAGCTTGCGTTTGAGGGTGAGGGGAGAAAAAGGACTCAAATTGTCCATTTCTAGCACGTATTTTGAAGTCTTCTCCCGGAAATAAAGACTCTTTGTCGTTTGATTTCTTCTCCTAGCATGTGTGTGCGTGCGCGTGCGTGTGTATGTATATACATGTATGTGTGCGTGTGTGTAATATATACTCAACAGAGACACACAAAAGGAGAAAGCTTGAAGCACACAGGAGTAAATGCTTCTGCTTCCTCAGAAAGGTCTGTGCAGTGTTTTGACTACCACAGGATCCTACTTTAAAATTAAAATTAAAAATAAAACTTTGGTGCCATCTTCCCCCTCCCTTCCCTCTCCTTGTCTGCACTTCTCTGGCTGACTATAATAGGCGCAAGCTATGGAAAGTGACAATCAAGATTGCCAATGATAAGGTGTCATCACCTTGAAGACAAAAGAGAGAGGGGGGGAAAAAATGAAGATATTACAACCATGGATCTTTATTTTTCCAGGAAATCATTCTGAACCCTTCCTGCAAATAATATGTGTGCGTAGGATTCTCTCTCTCTCTCCTCCCCCCCCTTCTAGTTGCATCTTTCATGCCAAATTTAATACCTTTCAGATTTTAATCTAGTACTGGGGTTGGGGAGAGAAGGGTAGAAGGGAGATGAAGTTAACATTGCAAAAAAAAAAATCAATAAACACTGTAGTGAAGAGGAAAGCAATTTGAAATGGAAGACATGACACTCCTGATATTTCTCTGTTTCTCTAGTCCTTCAACTAGTCTCTCTGGAGTAAAGAGGGGGTAGGACTTTAAAAGATGGGGGAGAGAATCCTTTCCATAGAATGAGAAACCTTCTGTGGAAAAAAAAAAGCTGAGTCTTTTATTTTAAATATGTGGATTTAATTAAGATAGAGAAACAATTCAACTCAAGTTTTAAAGAAGAGTTGAGTCTAAGGAGCTACTGAATAAACCCAAAATTGGAAAGACGGAAGAAACATTCATCAATTAAGTAAAAATGAGAACGCATATCTGTCTCTAATTTTCCATCATGTCCTCAATGTTGTTCTCCTTTCCTAAATTATGATGATTAATAATGAGTAAAACCTAGTCCTTCTAAAATTGTCAGGATTTATGTGATCTTGAATGAGATCAATGGCTTCCAGTGTTTCATATTATATTATTACAATAATGGGGGAAATTGTTTTTGCACACTTTGGAAACTAATACATCTATCAACCTATGCAGATGCTTCTCACCGCCCCAATTTTGACTTTGTCATCAGAGGTAATAATTCTTCTAACAAGATGACACGCCAGAAGTAAAGTACAATGGCCTTTTTCTTTGTGGGAAAAGGCAAATCCAATCAGAATTGCATCACTCTTCAGCTATAGTGTTAAACAAGATAAATTCCACTGAATTTAGGGAAGATCTACATATCAACCTTTCATGGCAGTGCTGATGGTAATTGTATCACTGCCAATTTTGCATTTGTGCTTTTACGGTGCACTTGCTTCACTTCCAGTGTCTTAAATCCAGTGGTGGGATTCAGCCGGTTTTCTCCGGATCTCACAAACCGGTAGCGGTGACTACGGGAGGCTCCGCCCACCCGCCCAGTTGTAATGCATGACTACTGCGCAGGCACAGAAGTCCGTGTGCATGCACAGAGGTGGCACGGGTGAGCACGCTCACATTTGAGGACCGGTAGGGAAGGTAAGTGAATCCCACATCTTTACTAAGTCCCTTCTCTCATTCATTGCAGCTCTGTAAGGAGCCCAGATAGTGTATCTGGCAACCGTGAGGGGCTGCCATGTCAACATCTTGGGCCACTCTAGTTGGTACACCATTGCTGCTTCTTCTGGGTTTTTTTTTTTAAGTTTCTTTTCATCCTGTAACCAACTATTGGATAAGTATTCCCGTACTTGATGTCAGTTTCCCCCAATGTAATCAGTTTCTTTGTTTTGTGCATGTTCTTGTTCGTGTGCATGAAATGCCAATATGTTCCAGTGTCCAATTAGCATGCCAACTCCTTTTTTTCTCCATCAAATGTCATTTTGTGGTCACTCCCCATCTACTTCTCTCTGTTTATACATGCTTATATACATAATACTGAGAGACAGAGACAAAGATAGAGACATATACTTCTATATTTAATACACAAGTATCCAATGAGGCTGGGAAACGAATTCTTAACACCAGCCATCTCGGCAACCCACTGCCCTTCTCAACATCACCACTTTGAATCCTCTGCTTTCCAAGCAGGCAGATCACTAACTGTATAATTTCTATGTGCTCAAAAGTGTTTACAAGAGAGGCCCGCAGACTTCCTGCCCTCTTCTTCTCTCATGGCATTGCTGTTAGTTAGAACTGGAATGTAAGGAAATCAAGGTCCTTCTGTGATGGGTCCTTAGTTTGGGCAGCAACAGCTATTTGCCAGCTGCAGTTTGGTAGCATTTCCTTGTGTGTATCTGGAAAGGACAGCTTTGAATGGTTATCATATCAAACCCAAATGAATTTTAAAAGGCTAAAGATGGACTGGTACTCCATGGGCAGTAAGGAAAGCCACCAGCCACTCACTTATTAGTATAGTACCATTAAGTAAGGGTGGGTAGGAAGGGTGGAAGACCATATTGGAAGGAATATCACTTAACTGCTATGTATTTTGTGTCCCCTGGCCTCATTCTCCATGATTATGTATTGCTTTACGAGCCAGGATGGTGCAATGGTTAGAACACAGTATTGCAGGCTAACTCTGCTGACTGCCAGCAGTTCAGCAGCACGATTCACTCACTGGTTCAGGGTTGACTCAGCTTTCTATCCTTCCGAGGTCGGTAAAATGAAGACCCAGATTGTTGGGGGCAATAGGCTGACTCTGTAAACCGCTTAGAGTGGGCTGTAAAGCACTGTGAAGCGGTATATAAGTCTAAGTACTATTGCTATTGCTTTCCCAGTTTATACAGCAGTGAGCAACTGCCGTACGGGGAAACCCTGACCATGTTTTGTGCCACAGCCCAAACATTAGTTTTGCTTACCTTACATTTTTATTCAGGCTAAGGGATTCCTCCTAGTACACCACACAGAAAGCAGTGGAAGGAGGGCACAGTGGACCTGCAGGTGGGATATTGAGTTGGCAAGATAGCACAGGAGATGGTCATATTATCTTTTCCATTCTTTCCCTGGCAGATACATCACACTGAGCACATCAGGGACTCAGCGTAATCCTGAGCTTCTCTTTTGCTCATGAGGAAGGTGAGGATTGCAGTAGGTTATTCTAACAAGTATCATGTGGTCAGCTTAGAGGTTGCCTTAACAAATATCAGGATTTAGACTGGCAACCCTTCTTTTTGTCCATAAATATAGCAATTTGAAGTTCAGCAATCCTCATTTAACACCATGCTGGACAGTCCTGTGAGTTGCCAGATATGAGGGTGGGGGTATCGCTGGACAATTCTGCAGGTGAGAAATGATGGGTCTGTTGGAATTTTAACAGTTGACCCAACATTTTCTGACAAAGCAATGAAAACAGACCCACAATGTGAGTTCCTTCACCATCTGCCATGACACCACAGACCAGAAGGCCAACATGGTGCAGTCAATTCCAGTCAACTGCACACTGCAGGCACCAATGTTCCAACCCCAAAAAGCTTGATTTCATTTTTCACCACTAAGGTTGCAAATCTCATAAGATAACATTATGGTGTACTGGTGGCTAATGGGCATCTTACCATGCTGATTTCCCCGAGGCAATGTCATCCTGACCCTTTCAACAAGAGTGGTCTCTGTGAGAGTTTAATAGCAGAATTGTCTTTCTATACACGGAAACATAATTTCCATATTGGTCTCCCATGCAGATACATCTACCAGTCTGCATAAGCAACATATTCCTGCTGAAAGCTTCAAACTCATGAAGTCTAGTTTATCATAAGAATACAGAAAATGTTGTTCCATGTGTAGGAGTATGGGTGACACTAGGACATAATCTACTGCATAGATGACACTGCGCTAGTTTTGTTTCTCTTCTTCCCCTGGATGGCATTGCATCTTTGCACAGTGGCAGTATCATAGCCATTTAAGGAAGTTAATCAGAGGTGTGATTATTGCTAATTGAAAACTTTTTCCCAATATCCCGTCATGAAACATGAACAATAGTCTGCACTGACAGTTTTTGAAAGTTCATTCTCTGATCACTGAGTTGCTTATATCCTTGTCCCGATTCCCTCTGTTGAAACTGAACTTAACTACTGGTAAATTGTGTTGTTGTGCACTAGGGTTGTGGTGGGATGACTGAGAGATACGGTATAGCCACAGATACCCACAGAACAACTCCTGCCATTGTCTACAATTGAGAAGTAGAAGGCACTGATTGTACCACAATGTAGTGAATCGTGATAAAGGGTTGGGTTTCCAAAATATAATACCAGGTTGCATGGGTCCCTTCTTTCCTACTACAGGTAGAATATAAATGACAAGGGACTGAGTATGTTCATGATGCAGGGGGTCTGATAGGCTCCTGTAGCCTCCTTCTGAGCATAGCACTTGGAAATAGTGAGTTGTAGATGTAGGCTTATCAAAAGATGCAGGGCAGTAGTGGGATTCAAATCCCATTGCTACCGGTTTGCTCGTGGGCGCGTGCTCGCATGCGCGCTCACATGTGATGCTTTTACACATGCTTCTGTGCATGCGCAGAGACATTGGGGCGGGTGGGCACAGCCTCCCGCTGCCACTGTTACCGGATTGCCCGATCCGGGGTGAACCAATAGCAACCCACCACTGATGCAGGGCCTACAGAACTAATATAATTTCACATTTGTTGTTTGTTGGGGGAAACATGGAGGAACAGATAGTCCTACATGCAAAGTTTGGTGAAAGACTTGTACAAGTTAGCAAGCACAGACATGTAGAAAATCAAGTTAAATCAACACCAACCCAAAGTAATCAATGGCCTGTCACCGCTTGGCCCTCATAATATCCTTTAGCTTCAATAGCAATAGCACTTAGACTTATATACCGTTCCATAGTGCTTTACAGCACTCTCTGGGCGGTTCATCACTCTCAAGTCCTGGCTTTAAGTAATGCACACTACGACCCTTGTTCACTGATATCATGCAGCAGTATAGGTAATCCTTGACTTACAACCACAATTGAGCCCAAAATTTATGTTGCTAAATGAAGTATTCGTTAAGTGAGTTTTGCCCAATTTTACGACCTTTCTTGTCATAGTTGTAAAGTGAATCACTGCAGTTGTTAAGTTACTAACATGGTTGTTAGGTGAAGCTGTCTTTCCCATTGACTTTGCTTGTCAGTCGATCGCAAAAGGGGATCACATGACCCTGGGACACTCTAACCGTCATAAATACAAACTAGTTCCCAAGTATCTGAATTCTGATCACATGATTATGGGTATAGTGCAACAGTTGTAAGTGTGAAAAATGGTCATAAATTGCTTTTTTCAGTGCTGTTGTAATGTTGAAAGGTCACTAAACAAACTGTTGTAAGTTGAGGACTACTTGAATCTACATTGCCTCCTGCAGTGAATTTCCTGAATCCTTCTTAGGGAATTTGGTAATTTATCCAATCTTTAGCTTCCTGGAAACAGGATTGGCTGGCCACCTATGGACACCACTCATGTGGATACAGAAGAACCCACTGCAGGCCAAATCTTATATGGGACATAAAGATTACAGGCAGTGGTGGGATTCAAATAATTTAACAAGCAGTTCAGCCAGGGTCAGGTTGGCTGTCGTGGGAGACGTGGCCCATCCCCGTTCTCCAGCTCCACTGCATATGAGGGACGAGCCTTCCGCCAACCTGACCCTGGGTGCACCGGTTGTTAAATTACCCCACCCCCACTATCAAAGTGGATCCTGGGTGCTGTGCTGCAATGGAGAAATGGGCAATGGAGCGCCCAGCACGAGGGAAGAAGAAGAAGCAGGGAGAAGAAAGAGGGAAAGCGGTTTTCTCCTTCTCTCATGCTGGCCGATCCGTTGCCCGTTCCTCCATTACAGCGCAGCACAGCACCCAGGATCCACTTTGATAGCAGGGGCTGAGTAATTTAAAAACTGGTTTGTCCGAACCGGTGCGAACTGGCTGAATCCCACCGCTGATTACAGGGCTATCCTCCTGCTTGTTCTAGTTGCTGCCCTATAACAAAGAATGGTGTGATCTGAAGACTAATAGTGGGAAGCATAATGGTCCTGCAATGTGAAATATTGCAGCTGTGTTCCAGATGTCATGATGTAAGTGGTTGACAAAATCCATGGTTGTCCTCATGGTGGTGCATAGGTCACAGTTGTGCTTTCATGGGGCAAGCTCTTTGTGAGCCTGGTCCTTCAGCTGCTGCACAAAGACAGCCTTGCTGGAATGTTTAGAGGCAATCTCCTTAACAGTAGTACTTGTTTCTACTTGGAGTGGTGAAGGAGACACTCTACCGGTATGTTCTCAGTGCAAGACTTTTGTGCAGCACTACTAATTGGAAAGTCAGGGGCAATGCTGCAAGCAATGGGTGCTATGATAGAAAGAGAATCATATTAGATGGATGCTGGAGGAAGAGCAGATTGGCCATGACTGTGCTAATTTCCAGAAGCAAGCATGACTCTCCTTAGTTGATGGCCGTACTGCAGGAGGACAGTGGCAATAGTCATGGTTGCTATTCCAGATGCAGCACCTCACTTTGCTCACCGTATTAGATAGTACAGTGGAGAAACCCATCTTGCATTTGATTATCATACGGTTGTCTATGGAGATTCTCAGTCATCCGGGTCATGGTTGTCCCAAAGGTGCTTTTTTTCAAAAGACAACTGGACTTTCTGATTTTTCTTTGAAGAAGTTTTGCTTCTCATCCAAGAAGCTTCTTCAGCGTCTTCAGAGCTTCTTCAGCTTGCTTCTTGAAAAAGCACATTTGGGATTTCTGTATCTAAGTAATTTAATACCAACATAAGGACATTCTGGGCATTCTAATAAACATATTATAATCAATATCCTTCTGTTCTGTAGTATTATTTTCCTTGTTCAAAAAAGCACCTTTGGGACTACCATACAGTTGGTTATCTAGTTCCCGCTCATTTTGGTACTGTACAGTGTCATCCAGCAACTGCTCCATCATGTCATGGGAGTGGTAGTCTATAAGAATGCCATGGAAGGGAAGAGATGGAAGAGAACATTAGACAGATGATCAGGCAGCCTTGATCTGGAGGGACATGCTGTGGGTGCAGTAAAGCAGAAGACTTCTAGGTGCATTGATAATACAACTGCAGACTGCAGGTTGCTATCATCCTTCACCGTCGTGATCCTGGCGAAAGTTGATGGATCTTGTAATGAAACATAAAATGAATCACATGTTGCTCATCCCTGATGAATAGACATTATCAAATATGTATTTAGATAATTCCCACTGAAACCAAATAAATTGAGCAACAGTATTTAGTTCTGCAATCATAGATTTATTTACATTAAAATAAATTCCAGTGGCATATGCTTCTGAAAAGATATGCAAAATATTTTATTGGTGGTTGGACATTATATACTAGCTGATGTACATCATATGCTGTATTTTTGGATCCCCTCCCTCTAACTGTCTTAAGGGAACACCAAATACATCCAATTTTTCCTCCCAGACAAATCCCTTTAATCCCTGCAGATTTCTTAGTAAACGTCTATGGAAATTCTCAGTCATCCATGTCATGGTTGTGCTAAAGGTGCTTGTTCAAAAGGCAACTGGACTTTGCTTTTCCTTGAAGATTATTTCGCTTCTCATCCAAGAAGAACTGAAGGGATTTTCTTAGTAAAGGTTTTCAGAAGTGGTTTGCTATTGCTTCCTTCCTAGGGCTAAGGGAAAAGGACTGGCCCAAGGTTACCCAGCTGGTTTTTGCCTAAGGTGAGACTAGAACTCACAGTCTCCCAGTTTCTAGTCTGATGCCTTACCATTATATCAAACTACCTCTCCCATCCTATATACCATAATTCTACAAGAATTAACTATTCTGCTCAGTACTATTTAAATAATCTGAAAAAAAAAAACAAATGATGGAGGAGACAAACGGAAAACTGCCTATTTTAGAAAATCAATCGGGTGGGGTGGGGGAGAGATCTGGAAAAATTTGTATTGATTCTCATAGTTCCATGCAGACAAGAGAAGCAGACACGACCTAAGATGCTGATAAAAGAACATTATTAGGGAAGAGGGGGTGGGGGATAGACTTTGCTGCTGCCAGGGTGTGCATGTGTTCTGGCAGCAATTTTCAATAAATCATCCCTTCTCATGAAAGGAACGCCAGGACTTTTCAGAAAGTCTTTGACATACCTTCAGCACAAGAGCAGATAATGTGTCTCTTTGTCTTTTAATAATGAATCCTGACTCTTCCTGTCAGCTGGTTCTCCTGGAAAATAAGAACACTGGGCTGGTGCGAGATGGAAGCTTGGAACTTCAGTTATGGGAAACTCGACTCATCGCATCCTTCTTTCCCTTTCTCTTTAAAGAGAAAATCAAAACTGATCTTCCCAGAGATTATTTTTTAGCTGACCTCATTTCCATAGAGATGGCCATAAGGATTTTGTCTTCCTGCTATCTTAGCTTGCATAATTATATACAGATTGTTTTAGGTAATGCATTACTTTTATCTCCAAAGATGGCCACAGAGCTCAAGGATAATAAAATACTGATTCATCCTTCCAAAATATCATAGTTCCGCGCGGCATAAATGTATGCCTCTTCATCCTTTCTGCCAACTAGAAGTCAGTAGACTTGGCACGAACGCTTGGTGGTGCATCTTACTTAAGAAGCATTGACCTGGTGTTCTGCAGATTGCAAATTTAACTTTCTTTAAGGGTTGCCCAAGGCACATGCTCTGGTAAGCGCAAGGGAAATAGCCTTCTCTGTAATTGTACTCACCCTTGCTCCCAGAAAAAAATAGAGCTTCATTTACTTTTTGATTAATTTTGATAGGGTCTAAAACCTGTATTTTTGCCAAACTGAACTGATTAATCTGAAGGTGGCCCATGATTTTATTTAAGAATTTTAACTGTTGCTATTTTCCTACGTTTTTATTACAGTGGATTTTATCCTTTAAGTCATATTTTCCATTTGTTTCATTACTTATTTTGAGTCCTAAAAGGCAGCAAGAAGAAGAACAAATAGATACCAATAAGAAGAATATTAAAGATCTGGTAAAGACAAGAAATTTAAGCTGCCTGAAG